AAACCTAAAAAACACCTATAAAGCTACAGTGTTTTGCTACCGCCACATACTTGCTATGTCTGTGGCAGTTTATTGAATAGACCCGCAATAGACAGCGCCATCCATTGCGGTTGCGAGTGAATTTTTTAACCACACGTGACGTTCGAAAAATGGAAGCCACCCGATTTTTTTGGATGGTGATGAGCCTTTGGGTGAAAACAATGTTCACTTTTGCCCATAGGCGTTCAATAGATGCTTCCACATATATGTGTGAAAAGTTTATAAAATGTTGAAACCTTATATATAAGGAAAATTGTTTGGTACGTCCAAGTCCACACCCGTTATTATATAGACTCAAAGCTCTATTCTATCCACACATGTTATTATATAGACTCAAAGCTCTATTCTATCCACCAAAACTGGGTCCCGTAAATAATTGTCCTCTAAATAAAAAGTAAAATCAATGGTTCAAATATTTTTTATAAAAAATATCATTTTTAGTTTTTCAAAATTATTTATTTTTACATAATAATCTCCATGTTAAAGATTATATAGTCCCTAAAAATTAGGATCAAATTCTATTTAAAAAATAAACTATTAAGGGCCCACATTTCTACATGCGAGTCCGTGGACTCATGAACCGTGTCCTATATATAAATACAGAGAGACAGAATAAGAGAGAGAGAGAGAGAGAGGAAAGGAAGGCATATGATTCTCTTGAGATAGTTGCAAAACTTTGTCCTGCACCACCCATAAATTTGAATTTCTTAATGAAAGAAATACAAAAAGAAGTTCTAATACATGAAATTCCAATTATAAATAAATAATGCACATACAAGGCCAAGAAAACAATGGTAAATCCTTGCAACTTGCCGGCCAGAATATCCTCAAATGTATCAGGAGACAGGAACGGTAGAAGACCAAGCACACAACTGCATCCCCATGGCAATACCAATAAGTCCCCAAAGTCCAACCTTTTCAAATTTGCTCCAACAGCGAACCCAGTAAATTTTTGGCTTACTTTTTAAACCAGATCCAGTCCAACCAGCCCTCACAATGAAAAACAACGGGTGACTCAAAATTAAGTATATGACATTGTTGAAGGAACATTTCTTCCTCAGACCTCTCTTAATAAACTCTTTAAGTAAGCAACTTAACAAAAGCTTGAATCCAATTTACCTTACACCTTTGAAGAAATTGGATGAAAAAGTTTCACTTTCATTTCTCTGTCAATGGTCTCAATCGTAAGGAGATCTCAATTTCAAAATGAGTGCAAAAAAACACTTGCACCAGAGACCCAGAGAACCCCCAAATCAAAGCATCCATCGAGGAGACAGGTGCGCCCCATTAGGCCTCGGCCTACTCGGTTGCTCCAACCCAGGCCTCTTCTTCATAATTGAAGAAACCGTGGGGCTGTAATAATCTCTTCCCCTATAAGATGCTGCAGTAGAAGCTGGAAACTTCCTTCCTTGCACAAAGCTCTGTTGTTTCTCAAGCCCAACTACTTTTCTCCTCCCAGAAGCCCACCTCCCGTAACTTACACAGCTCTGGCTTCTTCCCACCACCTTTTGTTGCCCCACTCTCTCTCCTCCTGGGCTTCCGTAGTTGCGACTCTCTCTAGTCTCTGCAGAGTACATGGTCTCCACCTCACTGCTGCACTCTCCATCCCCTAAAAACCCCTCTCTCTCTTCACCGCACATCATCCGTGAACAACTGGACTCCACCTCACTGCAGCATTCGTTATCTCTCTCATCGGAAACGACAAGGCCAGACTCGACTTCATCGCGGTGATAAGACAGAGGGGCTTCTTGGGTTCCTTCTTCCTCTCCATTGGATGCATGCTCCTCGAGCTTGTCCTCATTGGGATTCGGAACTAAATCCCAGTGAGATTCTCTCACTGCATTTCTCTCTCCAAAAGTCGATGGCAAGACAATTGACCGTGGATTCTTTGGAGGGAAATTTATATCTAAAAGTGGCAATTGGGTACAACTCTCTTTCCTAATCAACAGAGACGTCATCCGAGGAGATTCATATATCTCGGGAGTAGGTATCCCTTGATCATGGGTATATGTGTGGAAATTGGGTTCCTCTCTGCAAACAGTTATTGAAGCTGAACTTGATCCAGACCCATTTAAGGTTTTCTTGTGAGAGAAAGAGGCCTCTTCTTCTCTCTCATCCCCATCTGAGGATTTAAAGACACGACGTAGAGTGAAGGAAGCACTCGAATGGTCACTCTTTTGCCCCACCGACATCAATCTTATCAGAGGCATCTTGGGTTTGTTGAGATCATCCAAGCTACCCTCCCAATGCTGATTCAACCAATGGCAAATCACAGGAATGGGTATTCCAAATTGGGTTGGAAGCTCCTTCTTCCATGAAGAAGAAGAAGAAGAGGAAGAGGATTTTGTAGTGGGAGAAGAGGCAAGCTTCATGGGGTCACAGACCATGAAAGCGAGATTACCTTGGGCGTCGAAACCAGCAAATCCTGGGCCCCATGCGATCCCATCTGTCGAGAGCTTGATGAGATTATCAGTGGCAATGACCACTTTGCCCTCGCCCACAGTGAGTTCTCCCTCTTCAGAATGCCCCAAGAGATAGACTGCACTATTTAGGTCAAGGCATGGGTGGGTGCAGGTCCTTAAGAAATGGGATTGCTGAGAAGTTTCAGAATCTATGGGGTCGACGCCCACTACAGTCAGGTCCAGAACAGAACTTGTGAGGAAGAACCTGCAGTGGCATAGTTGTCGGAAACAGTTTTGACATGGATTAGACAAGAAATTCAAACAATCATAAAAATTTCAGATAAACCTAATAATCTGCTGTGTGATTTCCAATGAAACAAAATAATATGTACACTAATTTCCATACATATTAGATAGGATTTGCAGAATCTTATAGCTGGTTTCTGCCTCATTACGGCAAATAATAAAACAAGGGAATCATTCAAAAAAAAAAACTAGGGAAACAACTGATCTTTAAAGACACTTTCATATATACCACAGAAAATGTAGAGTATCTTACAGTTTGTTTCATAGCCAGTTGTATTGAAAAATGTATGAAAAGCCAATGAACTTTGCATTAATATTAATTAACAGATATTGTTAATATTTACTGTATCTTATAACTCTTTTGGGGTTGTACCTCTGTTTTTTGACCTATGATAAACTGAAGGAATTTTCTGTTTTCTAAGAAAAAGATATTGGTTTCTGAATTTAATGGTTGACATATCCAGAAGCAATAATCTGAAGCTTCCAGACAATTCAGATGGACCAGTGTTTAGAAAATTACTGGTCCGACCAAGGACTCGTCAAGTAGGACAGGACCACAAGCCAGGCCATTCTGGGCCTATCAGATTTTCATTGTTCCTTTTTAAAATTTACTTGTTAAGAGTTCCCTGCTTTGAAGGATCTGGGGACTGGGGCTTGTGAACCAGGTAAGTTGGAGCATGTGCCCGACTTTTTAAACACTAATATGCACGTACATCTAATGGATGACAAAACAGGCTGCACATACTTAAGGAGAACTGAGAAGGCTAAATCTAACAATTGTAAAAGGAGAAGGTTTAATCAGAATCCTTTTTTTTTTTTTCTCACTAACTTAATCACAATCGAGTTTTGGGGCCACTCAAAATTAAAACATTTGAAAACAAGAGAGCCAAACAAGAATGAAACCCTCGTTAATATACCACAATCAAGAAATCATTTATTGGCCTGCTCCTGCGTTGTCCCTTGAAGCAGCACACTATAATCTTTTATGGAATTAGTCAAAATTGATTTTCAATATCTGATTTTCTTTTTTACAAGGGAAACATTTTATTAATTCATGTCAAAAGCAGTATTGAGATTAAAAAACAAAAAAATTGGTTGATTTTTCTTCATTCATAGGCAATTATGAGCATTCTCATAACTTATCCAGCGATTTGTATCCCATCTCATGGAGAAAAGAGAGAGAAATCGGAGACAAGCAAAGCAATCAGCGGAGTAATGGGTGGATTAAGAAATTTTTCATGTTCATTGAAAAGGTCAAACAACTATAGATAATTTGGTGAAAGTTCTCATGCATGTTACTAGTATTCAAAGAAAGTTTGATCAATGGAAAAAACTGATATTTGGCAACATAATTAAAATAACAAGAATTGATAGTTCCCATGCATGTTAATATTATTCAAAGAAAGTTTGATCAATGGAAAAAATTGATATTTGGCAACGTAATTAAAATAACAAGAATGTGCTACAATCACTTTTGAGACAAAAGACGATAAGGATAGATTCAATCATCCTCCCAAAATCAACACAAAGAAAAGTAAAAAAGCAGACTTTTAAAGCTTAATTAAAATACTACCTTAATCAGATCGAGATTTATTCACAGGAAAAAATAGAGGTAGAAACCATTTTCTTTTTTTTTTAACTATACAGAAGTTCACTGAGACTAGAGTTTGATTTATCCTTCTGTAACAATTTTTTTCCTGATTGGCTTATCATGTTATGATAATCCACAATGAAATAAGCTTTTTTTGTAGAGTAATTGAATTTATATTGATAAATGCACGTTCAAAATCAATTTCTCAATACAATCTCAACCACCCTGGTTGCCCTTCACCAAATCCACATGTGTAATTTACTTTCTCTTCACCAGCCAAGTAGGAATAAACACCCAAGCGCGCACAGAGAGAGAGAGAGAGAGAGAGAGAGAGAGAGAGAGAGAGAGAGAGAGAGAGAGAGAGAGAGAGAGAGAGTAGTAGTAGTAGTAGTAGTAGTTAGTTAGTTAGTTAGTTAGTTTAGTTTAGTTTAGTTTAGTTTAGTTTAGTTTACGTTTAGTTTACGTTTACGTTTAC